CATGTGACGGATCCTACTTCTGGCCCAGGGGACTCAGCAATTGCTGAAGCCGATCTAGGACCCAGTGCAGAGCAGGGAGTGGGGAAGTAAATGGGAGAGAGGTTTTTCCGTGAGGGGCTGTTTTTGATCTGTGCGGTAGGCCTTCCGCAATTACTTGTCTTTTGCCAGATCAAGGGCTGCTTCTCACTGGTTCTGGGTGGCCGTGTAGACTCTCTGGAGCTGGGTCACTCCCAGTGTGGAAAACGCACCTCCCAAGCACAGCTTCTTGCCTACCTCTCTGCTCACCCACGAGCTGCTGAAGCCTGAAGAACTCAGGCTCTCACCAGGTCCGGTCTGGCAACACCTTGCTGCTTCCGAACTGTCTCTCCCTCCCCCTGCCACTCCGTCCGGTTCCTCAACTCTGCCTTCGATGTTCAGGGCTCCCAGATTGCCATATATAATCGAATCATTTGTTTTTCTGGGCCTTTGTTGTAGGACGGTCCACCAGAGTCTGACTACTCTGCCATCTTGGCCCCGCCTCCCTGGATTTCTTTTTTATGTTAATGAGGCCATATCAGTGTAGGGTGAGTCCTAAACCTAATTGCTTTTGAGTTATAAGGCACAGCATAGACACAGAGACAAGCAAACACAGATGAGGGAAGACAGATGCCACGTGAAGATCGCCAAGGAACTGAAGAATGCTGGGGCTACAGAAGCTGAAAGAGGAAAGGATCTTTCCCCAGAGCCAACAGAGAGAGAGAGAGCCTTCCCCTAGAGCCGATGTCCTGAATTTGGACTTCTAACCTCCTGAACTGAAAAAAATAAATTTCTGTTCTTCAAGGCCACCCATTCATGGTGTATCTGTTACAGCAGCACTAGGAAACTAAGACAGGAGGTCTTTCAGCAAAGCAATGAGTTAGACAGATATGGCTACTATGTGAAGAGATTGGTGGTGGCCAACTAGGAGGGAAGGTGGCCACTGCCATCATCCAGGAAATGTGATGATGCTCTGGCCTGGGAAGCAGTGGAGAGAGAACAGGACATAGATGTGAGGGCTACTTCAGTGGTACAATCAGCCAACTCTGGCCATCAGATGTTGGAGTTGAGAAACAGGGAGATGTCTAGGACACTAGACTTCCAGCTTGATGCCATTCATTTAGAGAAAAGACATTCATAGTAGAATGGGTTTTATTAGAGGAGGATAAGTTCAGGGTTGGACATGCTTAACTTGAGGCATCTGTGAGGTCTCCAGAAGTTGGCCAGCAAGCTGCAGACATAGGTGTCTGGAGCCCAAGAAGTCCAGTCTGGAGACCCGAGCTGGGGTCATAAGCATAAGGCTGTTCCCAAATATCCCCAGTTAGATGTGATCTCACAAACTCCCAGTGTAAGATATTTATACGTTTTATTCCTTGCACTTAATAATTACTTATTTTTGTGTCTGTTAGCTCAACTAGACCAACCTCTTAGAAGACAGAATCCATGGGAAACAGCCTGATACAGGTTTAGCAATTTTCTCCGACTTACTGGTCTGTCAGCTCATAAGTAACAGAGACCAAACCTGAGCTCAAGTCCTCTCAATCCAGACATCCTGCAGCTTCTTTCTCACAGTAAGCTGCATGTAATGTGGCAAGTGGCTCCGTGGAATAACGTGGACCTGGTCTACATCAGCAGCCCTCTGGAAAGGGCGCTGCTTTCACACAAATTGGCAACAGGAATTAAAGCAACCACAAAGCTCAATGTTGTGAATACTTGCTTGAAATTTTTTCTATAACTGCGATTATGGAGCACCAATATTTTATCAGACATTGCAGACATATATTCAATACTGTCACTCTTTACAACATCCCTACTCTAAGTTGTTGTTGTTGTTGTTGTGTGCCGTCCAGTTGATTCTGACTTATAGCTTCCCTATACGATAGACTGCCTCATACAGTTTCCTAGGCTATAGTCTTTACAGGAACAGATTGCCAGGTCTTTTCTCTCGAAGAGCCACTGGTAGGTTTGAACTGCCAACCTGAACTGTTGCACCACCAGGGCTCCTTAGGGTAGGTATTAAACCTGCTGCTGTTGAATTGATTCTGACTCATAGGGACCCTACAGGACAGAGCAGAATTGCCACATAGGGTTTCCAAGGAGTGGCTGGTAGATTCAAACTGCCGACCTTTTAGTTAGCAGCCAAGCTCTTAACCACTGCGCTACCAGGGTTCCGTGGTAGGTGGTGTTGTTGTTGTTAGGTGCCATCGAGTCAATTCCGACTCATTGTGACCCTAAATACAACAGAATGAAAAACTGTCCGGTCCTGCACCATCCTCACAACAGTTGTTATGCTTGAGCCCATTGTTGCAGCCACTGTGTCAGTCCATCTTGTTAAGGGTCTTCCTCTTTTTCGCTAACCCTCTACTCTACCAAGCATGATGTCCTTCTCCAGGGACTGATCCCTCCTGATAATGTGTCCAAGGTATGTGAGACAGTTTCACCATCCTCGCTTGTATGTAGCAGGCTGGCTGTACATCTTCCAAGACAGATTTGTTCGTTCTTCTCGCAGTCTATGGTATAGTCAATATTCTTTGCCAACGCTGTAATTCGAAAAGCATCAGTTCTTCTTCTGTCTTCCTTATTCATTGTCCAGCTTTCACATGTATATGAGGTGATTGAAAACACCATGGCTTCAGTCAGGTGCACCTCACTAGGCATTAGGATCTCTGTTTTACAGATGCAGAGACTGAGGTTCAGAGTGGTAAAGTGATTTGCTCAGAAATTGTAGAGCTGGGATTCAAACCCAGATCTATTTGATTCCAGAAGCATAGGCTCTCTCCCAACATATTTTAGTGTTTCTCGTGCAGTAAGTTTATACAAACAAATGTGTAACCAGTCTTTCCCATGTATTAACATAAGGAGTTTTTATTAGATTCAAATAGAGGATTTTGAATGACTTGGGCACCTCCTGTTAATAGCCTCTTCAATCAGCCTTCAGCCTATAATTTTGAGTTATTTTTTGAAATCTTCACATGTAATCTAGTTTCAAACATGCATAATTTTGGCAGAGCCCTTGTAGAAGCAGGATATTATTGGAAAGGCAGATGGATCACCCTCAAGGTGCACAGAAGGACAAAGAAGTGGAGGGCCCATACCACCAAGTGCTTTACAGGTCCAGTCTCATTTAATCTTCACAAGAAGGATTCTCACCATCATTTTGTTGATGAAGCAAATGAGGCTCAGAAAGGTCAAGTCACCTGCCCAAGGACACACAGCTCACAAATAGCAGAGCAGGATTTGAACTCACAGCTACTTATTCTGAAGTCCATGCATTTTCCATTCTGCTGTCCTGTGCGTGAAAACCACTGCTCTTTCTCTGTCCTCTCTCTGCTCACTAGGCCTTCTGATGGGAAAACTGAGCCCATCAACTCTTTTGTATATTCGCTAATGCAGCCAGCTGGTCCACCGGCAGCTGCTGATGAATGTACACATCCTACACCTGGCAGAAACACAACCCCAAGCCCAGGTCCTTGTTCACCACCATGTTGCACGCATGCTGATGGGAAACTACAAAGAAGACTTGACCTCCGGTTGCCAATGGAAATAGGATGCCCCATGGCAGATAACCAGTGACCAGCTGCCATTGAGTGGATTCTGACTCATAGTAACTCACTCCATGTGTGTCAGGGTAGAACTGTGCTCTACATGGTTTTCAATGGCTGATTTTTCAGAAGCAGATCACCAGGCTTCTCTTCTGAGGCACCTCTGGGTGGATGCAAACCTCTGACCTTTTGGTTAGAATCCAAGCATGTTCACCATTTGCACCACTCAGGAGCTCCAAAGTTAAGGAGATTTTGGTGTGATTTGGTGTGACTGCAGGAAAGTTATTTAAATTTGCTAGTCTCAGCTTCCTTGGCTGTAAAATGGGAATAATGATACCCACCTGGACGGGATATTAGTGAAGATAAGTGGGTTAAAGTAGCCAGAAGAGCCTAGGAGAGACTCTCATGAATACATGCTCCATCGGCGTCCCCTTCTCTTCCCCTTGCCAGTGACAGGAGCCCTTTCTGAATCATCTGCTCCCTGTAGGAAAGACCCACTGCAAGTGTCTTCTCTGCCTGGCTCTCATAAAAGCTCGTAAAATGATCTGACCCAGCCCCAGTGAGGTATCATCGATAACCACTGCTATGAAGATGAGGGCATATAAAAGCATTTTGTAAATGGAAGGAGTTTTATGCTGTTTATTTGCTGGCAAACATATCCACTGATCAAGGCACAAGAGAAAGGACACAGAGTTTGAAGCCAAGCCACTTGGTAAAGACCAAGTGTGAATCCTGGTTTTGCTACCTACTAGCTTTATGGTCTTTCACAATCCCTTCACCTTTTCCCGTCTCTGAATGTCCTCATTTGCAAAATGAGGAAAAGTAACTCTGATTTGCATTGCAGAGATTATACCCCAGTGGCTGGCACATTTGTTAGCAAGTGGGAAGGAAAGAGGGCCAATATCTCTGTTGAACACCACAGCATGTAGCCAAAACACAAGGAGTAATTACAAGTAAATGGTTCCTACAAGAAACAAGAAGGAGTTCCATTGTGAAGAGCTTTGTGTAAGCTACATCTATTTTTAAAAGTTGCCTTTATAAAAATAGAATATGTAACAAACATAAAACAAGAACGGAAACCTTGCCTTTGACACACAACCCATAGCTCAGCCAGATGTTGGAATGTAGAACTGTGTACTGCGAGGTGGGGGCTCCTCCAGGCCCTTAGGGTGGGGGACTGAGTGTGGATGAGCTAGTCCCAAGTTCCTCATGATGCTGAAAAGAGTTGGCCATCTGGATGTTCCTGAGCCCCACAGGATGCCATGTTCTTGAGAGGTCGGAGGGTGTGGGGACTGTCCGGTGTGTCTGTGTCTTTTGCATATGCAATTTATATTTGCAAGCTGTACACTATAAACACACACACACACACACACACACACACGCACACACAGGCAGGAGGAAATAAATCTGTCTTTAGACTCCCCCATGGAGTTTTCCCTTGGGCTAGTCCATGCCTGAGGCCCAAATGGCCTTTTTGGCATTCAGAAAGTTCTTCTTCTTTCTTCTGGGAGGAATGTGCAATGAGATCTCCGGCTCCTTCGGACTCCTGAATATAAAGAGTTTTTCGCCTGTATTTAATAAGTCAACAGTGTCTGCCCCTATGATGGGCACAGGGGCCCGTTCGCCAAGGGGTTCCAGGGATAGGTGGGGCCAACTTCCTTTTCCAGGGAATACCATCCTCTCTGTGAGAGGGAGACACGTCTTCTTCAATATGCTAAGGAAAGAGCAGAAGATCAAATTCAACATGTTGACAGCGGACCCTCTTGAGTGTATTGAGAGTTCTATAGGGGATCCCCCTTTGGGCCCTAGGGTCCCCAGCCAAATGCATTTTCAGAGAAGGCTTTTTCCCTTTGGCCACCCAGTGCCCCTGAGGTTAGGTGAAGCCCGTGGCGGTGGCGTGCAGCGGCAAGCTACTGGCTCATTGTTACATTTTCTGGAGCTTTGCCAGCCAGTTGTCAGCAAGTTGTTAGCTTGAAATTGGCCATGGTGGGAGTATTCATACCATGGAAAAGGGCAAAGGCTATGCATCGGGCGCTGCCATCCCCTGGCAGGTTGTACACCACTGCTTGTGAGTCTCGCATTAAAGGCAGACCGATGCAAAGCTACTCTGACTGCAAAGCAGTTAGAAGTCAGGCAAAATGCCCTTTGAAATCGGAGTGTGATGGGCTTTGGGCGTGTCCCCTGGAAGGATTGCTGGAATCTCTGTGCACGAGTGATCCAACCCCTAAATCCCTGCTGCGCTTCTTGATGGCCATGACTGCCCCTGAGAGCCCTATAAACCCAGAAGCTCTCTCTTTGCCCAAGCAGTGCAGGACAAGGGCATGTCACCGGGGGCTACCTACTGAACATCACTGGCAGGTCTGCTGTCCCTCCCTGAAGTCGCATGGCAGATTCGGCTCCATCCCCAACACCTGTGGGTCAGTTTGTCACCCTATTGGGGCTGCTGTGTTGCTGTGATGCTGGAAGCTATGTCACCGGTATTTCAAATACCCGCAGGGTCACCCATGGTGGACAGGTTATAGCGGAGCTTCCGGACTAAGAAAGACTAGGAAGAAGTCCTGGCGATCTACTTCCGGAAATTAGCCAAGGAAAATCTTATGGATCCAACAGACTATGGTCTGATACAGGACCAAGCAGCGTTTAGTTCTACCATACACGGGGTCGCCGTGAGTTGGAGCCGACTCAGCAGCTCAAAACCACCATCAGCACTAAGTCCTGCTCCAGCAGCTACTTAGGAGTCTGAGCAAGGATTCAAAACCCAGCTCGCTCCTGTTTCTTCCGTAAGAGCACAGCAAGCTGGGGTAACTCTACTGATCTGTTCCTCCTCCGCTCATATCCGTGTGGCCTAGGAACACATTAACTCCCCCATCCTGAGCCTCTGCGCCTTAGTGGAGCCCTTGGCTGGTGCAAACAGTCAACGTACTCGGCTGCTAGCTTAAAGGCTGGCGGTTCGAGTCCACCCAGGGGCGCCTCAGAAGAAAGGCCTCGTGATCTACTTTCGAAAAATCAGCCACTGAAAACCCCACGGATGGCAGTTCTACTCTGACATACATGGGGTCGCCATGAGGCGGAGTCGACTGGATGGCAACTGGTGGTGGCGGTTACACTGATAACACTTGACTTTCTATGTTTTGTTTCTGGCTTAATATTCTGATCTAATTTCTTATCAGTGCCTCCAGGATCTTTCATCACGGACCACTCATTAAGCCTAGACTCCGAACCTTGGCCTCACCCATTGCCATCGAGTCGATTCTGACTCATGGCGACCTCATGTGTGTCAGGTTAGAACTGCTCCATAAGGTTTCCAATGGCTGTGACCTTTTGGAAGTAGATCTCCAGGTCTTTCTTCCAAGGCGCCTCTGGGTGGGTTCGAACCACCAACCTTAGCTCTGAGAAGCTGTGGATGAGGGCAGGGCTCTGGCTACAAGCTTCCTCTAGACACCCACTGTTTGCCCAACACACAGTAGGTACCACTTTTTAACCTATTATGAATCCATCCAAGGAGCCCCAGTGGCGCAACAGTTAAGTGCTCGGCTGCTAACCGAAAGCTCAGAAGTCTGAACCCACCAGTCACTCTGGGAGAGAGATGTGGCAGTCTACATCCATAAAGATTACAGCCTTGGTGAAACTCTGAGACTACAGCCCCTGGACACCCTTTTAGCTCAGTAATGAAGTCACTCCCGAGGTTCACCCTTCAGCCAAAGATTAGACAGCCCCATAAAACAAAATGAAACTAATGGGGCACACCAGTCCAGGGACAAGGACTAGAAGGCAGGAGGGGACAGGAAAGCTGGTAACAAGGAACCCAAGGTCGAGAAGGGAGAGTGTTGATATGTTGTGGGTTTGTTAACCAATGTCATAAAACAATATGTGTACAAAGTGTTTAAGGAGAAACTATTTGTTCTGTAAACCTTCATCTAAAGTACAACTGAAAAAAAAAAAAAAAAGATTACAGCCTTGGAAACCCTATGGGGCAGTTCTACTCTGTTCTGTAGGGTTGCTGTGAGTCAGAATCAACTCGACGGCAACAGATTTTTTAAAAAATTAATCTCCCCAGTGATACTTTTTCTCCACATCTTCTCTAGTGGAATCATAGGAGACACTTTGTCAGCTGTTTGCAGCAACCTAAGAACTCTGGCCCTGATCTGTAAGTGTGTATGAACCCCCGCCAACAGGGAAAGGCACTCTAGGGAGTGAAACAATCACAGGCCTGGAAGTTCCGGGAAATAACGGGGGCAGTTAGAAGGGCCGGATCCACGGCCTCTATCCGCCACCTGCGGGCAGGGGGCCACTTCGTCTGACCTTCTGAGCTTCCGTTTTACCATCCCCACTTTCTGGAAGGCTGGGAGGATCCACTGCAGTAACAGACAAGAAAGGGCTTCATAAACTAAGCCCTAACAGCTGTATGGAAACCCTGGTGGCAAAGTGGTTAAGTGCTACGGCTGCTAACCAAAAGGTTGGCAGTTCGAATTCACCAGGCGCTCCTTGGAAATCCTATGGGGCAGTTCTGCTCTGTCCTATAGGGCTGCTACGAGTCAGAATCGACTCAAAGGGTTTAGCAGCTCTCAAGAATTCTTCTCTTTCCAATTATGACCCATTAAAAAGAGCCATTACTGAAAATAAATACAGTAATTAAAATGTTAATAAATGTTAAGAGAACATTCTCAGAGCTACAGGCTTATCTTCAGCTTCTAAACTAAGCCCACTTAGAATAAAGATTAGCAGTCTTGGGGAGGGAGGAAGAAAGGAAGGCTTTCATGTTCGAGCAAGACTCCCCCCCACCCATTCCATCTCCCGCCTCCGCATCCAGCTCCCAGGCAGCACAGCTGGCCCCTGCCCAGCCCACCTGAGCAGGTGCCCCCATTACCTCTCCTTCCTCCTGCGAGCCCAGAGCGCCTTCTCTAGCCCTCTGCTGATCAGGTCTCCTCGCAGTTTGCTTTCTAAGGCTTGCCACCAGCCCTGGTGTTTCCTGAAGGAAAGAGAGAGTGCTTTGTATTTTCAAAACAGAATAGAATTTTTCAAGTGAATAGTAATAGTACTTCCCAAAAAGCACTATGGAACCCAGTAACAAAAAGATGAAAACACCCCAATCAAAAAATGAGCTAAGGTCCTGAGTAGACATTTACCCAAAAAAGAGATACAGACGTCTGGCAAACACATGAAAAGATTCTCAGTATCATTAGCCATTAAAAAAAACAAAACAACTCGTTGCCTTCAAGTTGATTTCAACTTGTGGCAACCCCACGTGTCACAGGGTGTAACTGCTTCGTAGGGTTTTCTTGGCTGTAATCTTTACAGAAGCAGATGGCCAGTCCTTTCTTCCACAGCACTGCTGGTTGGGTTCAAACTGCCATCCTTTTGTTAGTAGTAAACTATTTGTGTCGTCCATGGACCTTGTTGTTGTTAGGTGCCACTGAGTTGGTTCCGACTCATAGCGGCCCTACGTACAACAGAATGAAACACTGCCCGGTCCTGCGCCATCCTCGTGATTGTTTGAGCCCAGGGACCTCAGGGAAGTGCAAATCAAAACCACAATGAGATACCACTTCACCCCCAATTAAAAAAAAAAAAAAAACCCGTTGCCATCGAGTCGATTCTGGCTCATAGTGACCCTGGAGGACACAGTGGGACTGCCCCACAGGGTTTCCAAGGAGCAGCTGGTGGATTCAAACTGCTGTCCTTTCGGTTAGCAGCGTGAGCTCTAGGATGGCTATTATCAAAGATATGTAAACGCAAGCACTGGCGAGGATGTGCAGAAATTGGAACGCTTGCATTGCTGGTGGGAACGTAAAATGGGGCAGCTAATGTGGAAAAAAGTTTGATGATCCCTCAAAAAGTTAAACACAGAATTACCATATGACCCAGCAATCCACTCCTGGGTATACACCCAAAAAAAACTGAAAGGAAGGACTCAGACAGATACTTGTACATCAATGTTTGCTGCAGCATTATTCACAGGAGCCAAAGGGTGGTTTTAACCCAAGCGTCCATCAACAGATGAATGGATACACAAATCGTGGTATGTAGGTACAATGAAATATTATTCCACCATTAAACGAAATGAAATTCTGATACATGCTTTAACAAGAATGGACCTTGAAAACATTATGCTGAGTGAAAAAAGCCAGACACAAAGGCCACATGCTGTCTGATCCCACTTAAACGAAATTCCTAGAACAGGCAAATGCAGAGACCACAGCAGATGAGTGGTTACTAGGGGCCGGGAGGAGCAGATAATGACGAGTAACTGGTTACTGGACGCTGAGTTTCTGTTTGGAAACACAACATTGTGCATGTAATTACTGTCACTGAATTGTGCACTTTATATGTTTTTTACCACAATAAACTTTTTTTAAAAAAGCAGGGTGCAGTTCCATCCCTCAGTGTGACTTTCAGCTGACACAGGAACCCCATGAGTGGTCACCATTTCTTCTTTCAGATGCTCAGCACACACTGTCCAGGCACCTTCTCTGGCCTGGATATGGCACAGTCAGGGGTCCTCAGTCCAGTGGGGGGGCCACAGACGGATAACAGGTGACATCACTCAGCCAGGGAAAGAAGGGGACACTTGAGCTGAGCCTGAGTGTCCAGCAGAGGGAGCCAGGGGGCACTAGTGAATGACCCACCAGCCGTGCTGCAGGAGAAAGATGTGGCAATCTGCTCCCATGAAGATTTCAGCCTTGGAAACCCTATGGGGCAGCTCTACTCTGTCCTACAGGGTCTCTGCGAGTAGGAATGAACTCAACGGCAACGGGTTTATGTTGACTTAGGTGTTGTCTGCCTCCCCCACTGGACCGTAAGAGCCATTATCTCTCTCACTTGCCACATTTCCCCAGTGCCTGGACAGCGGGCAAACGAGGCGTTCCGTAAGTGTTGTGTGACTATGTGGTTGAGAAAGTCAGTGAGGCTGTCCGTACTGTGTGATTGCTACACACTCATACACTCTCACACATAAATTCACACACTCACACAGGACACTACACACGCACAAATACACTCACACCACACACTCCCACTCACACAAATACACTCACACCACACATTCCCACTCA